TCCAAAAAAACAACATAGGGCATAGACTTGGTTCTATCCAACGGTTGTTGATTGTATTTTGAGATGTGGGCATTGCACTCAATAATGAGTGTGAGCTTGCAGTCAATCGTAAGAAAGCAAGGGGTTTAAGCAGACCAAATCATTGGAGAAGTCTCTTGTTTCACTAGAAAACTGAATTATGAGAAATTGAGAAATTTCATTTCATGTTGACTTTAAATCTTCTGAAATACAGAAGAAAAATAATTTCTCATCACTCCAGTTAATCAACCCTCAGATGCTGAAACTAAACACAGCATGGGAAAGTTTCTATGACTGTCCAGAGCTTGTGAAAGTTTTTAACTTAGCTTTAACCACTTTATTTAGATTTATTGTATAAAATTTACAGATTTAACTCAAGGTAAACTTTCATAAAATGTAAAATGACGAGACTAAGATACAGTCTTTTTATTGTGGTGTGGAATCATGCAATGGATGAGTATGTACCTCTTCTCGGGCGATGGCAAGAGAGTGGTCCATGTCACGTGGCAGATGAGGGCTTTCCCCCTCAATATATCCTGATTGTAAATAGAAGGAGCTCTTCGAAACCCCGCTGTCTCCCGGTGAGGCCATTTCTCTCTGCTGCAGAGAAGAGAGTTGTGGAGAAACCATTAAAAAGCTGTGAGTTTATTTCTGTAAAACAATATTTACATCACATGTCTTGGTGGGAGGCAGCACATCATCTACAGGTTCTACTCAGCAAAGCCATAATGCCATGGAGAGCAGGCTCTTAGTTTGGGTTCAAAAGCCTCCAGCAGTTTGCGACTGGCCCGCTGCATACAGCTGGAATGCTATGATTGACAATCTTCAATGTGAGATGGATGTGAAAGCTGTTTGTCATGAAAGGTTTGCAGCTGTGACCGGATCAGAGAGAGAATGCTGTGTCAGATGAGGACTGCAGGAGTACAGGTTGATCCTTATGTTAGTTTTCAGAGATCAGATAACGTGCAAAGTTGGTGATCTTATATTTTCATTGGGATGATCCATTTTGCATGGGGAAAAAAAGACAATATCCTAAAATATCCTTAAAAAAA